CCCCCCCCCTCCTCTTTCTCACTGTCCCGCTCCTCTCGGCGCCGCGCTGCTGCGCGTCCCGCCAACCTTCGCCTCCATTCTTCTCTCCCGCGTTTCCAACCCCATCCTACCTACCTCGTTTTCTCATCCCCCGTGTCCTCCACCGCAAGCTCCGCTGGTCCTCTCTATCGCTAGCAAACCGTCCTCCGATGAAAGTTTCTCTCCCTTTGGCCCCCTTTTCCTTTTGCTCTCTCGCCCTACTTCACCTATCAGCTTTGCCCGACTCTTGATCTCTGTTCGTCTTTTCATCGTTATCCTAGCGCGCCTTCAACGCCTTGCGTCAGGCGTGGAGATAGCCAAGTTTCGTCTCGTTACCGAAACTTACAGCGATCACAGCAAACTCTTTAAATGTCACGACGATGTGTCGACACTACTGGCTAAACAAAACTGAAACTTATGACCAATGGATGCGATAACTCTGAATCGATCGTTTACAATCACTTTTGATTATACTTTTAATTCATCGAATTTTAATTATAGATTTTTACTGTATTCAGTTAGAGTATATTAACCAAACTTAAAAATTTTTTTGTCAACTAATCCTTTGGATTAAAATTTTGCTCAAGGAACGTTCTTGAAATTGGTTGTGGAAATAAATTTTTTAAGAAGCTTAGTTTCTTGCAAGTTTTTAATTAAAAACTACTTACATAATATATGTAGTTTTTTGTTTGGTATCTGTCTTAGTTCAAGAAAATACGCATTTTAGAATATCGACCTCTTAAGAGAATAAAAGAGCACGATGAAATACCAAAAATCACGTTATATATACATACATATATTTATTATATATATATACCATATATATATCTCAATTTTCGATTAATATTAAATTTTATTAACTTTATGCTTTTATATATTATAATGATAAAAAAGATATTTAACTTCAGCTTGCTATTTTACATATTTTTATTCCGCATATATATTAATTTTGTAATAAAAAAGTAATATCGGACTTTTTTTCCTCTCAAGAAAGTGTCATCCGTAAAATTTTACGAGATTTATACTTCAAGTGAAACGAATCTATAATTTGTAACTAATTTTATATTTTATTCTTCTGATGTTTGTAATGAAAAAATTCTGTCCTTGATGCTTTATCCATCCCTCTACGAGTGTTCTATAAATATATACTGATAGAAGGGGATGATATTCAAGTCTCAAGTTCTTCTCTCAAGAAGGGAAGCACGACCTCGTGGCGGTAGAAATAAAAATCTTACATAAGATCGGTATGTCAAGAAAATCTCTAATTTGTTATTGGACGATCCTGCTGTTCGCCCTTATGCAAACTTTGCCCTCCCACGAGATGAGATGCCTTCCTTTACGAAATACTGTATGTGCTGAGGCACGTACGGGAGAGATCTTTAGAGATCTTCGCTCTGTTTCTCGAGAATGATATCTTGAATCCACGGTAGGATTAAACATGCATTTTCTTCAAGACATGCAATGTATTTCGAGGGAGAGACTCCCTAGAAGGGAGTCTGGCGACACGCATCCAACTCTCTGCCGATCAGCTGTCGCCTTTTTCTCAACCGACAGGACGGGGAACATTTCCCTCAGTTTTACGGCTCAAAGGTTGTAAAGTCTAATGGAACGTGGGCACGTTCGGCGATACCGCTATATCGATGTCGACATTTAAGTACAAGCGACAGTAAAAGCTCTTTCTGGAAAATGATGCAGCCTCTTTACGCAAACGAGATTAAGACGAATTGTCGTGGTTTGCTACGATTCAGATAGCTTTTCCGAGAAAGCAATTTTCTCGTTACTCATAAATTATGAAGTTGTTCTGTATGTACAAGGATTTCCAATATCTATCTTATCTACGAGTGACGCCGGAAGGAAAAAAATTGTGATGAAATATACGCGAGGAAGGAAATATATGTGTAAATATTTTACGGCTGTATATCCGCATGTTATATATAAATCCATTTACGAAATTATATTAGTTTGATAAAACAAATTTTTAATATGTAACAAAATTGTTTTAGAAATTAACAATTGGATATCACACAAATAGACAAAGAATAATGTAATTATGAATATTTCACCGTTTACACCACTATAAATCTAATGAAAAACCCGATAAAATTTGTATATTGACGAATGGATATCTTAAATATTTTTATGGAGATTTAAAAAAAATATTTTTTTTATATAATTGCATAGGTAAACAAATTGGTTGCATGATGATTTAAAGATAATAAAACTATGGATGCTTAGACTAATATAAAGATATTTTGAATAGAAATTATTTTTTATTTAAAAAATTTTTTAATTATTTCTACTAAATACTAACTTAAGATAAGCAATACAAAATTATGTTGAATTGAGTCGTAAAACTAACAGATACAATACGTTTCTATTTTAAACCGGATGAAGGCGCCTAAAAACATAAAACCCGCGCAACGCGTGTGCGTGATGTGATAGATTAAGCTTGTTTGGATAGAGAAGTAGGAAAGAGAGAGAGAAAAAGAAAGAGAGAGAGAGAGAGAGAGAGAAAGAGAGAAGAGATTATTCAAGTGTCAATGACGATGGAATTTAGAATTCAAACAAATGAAACTTCAAACGCATCAAAATTTTGTGTCTGTTGATAACAGGCTATACGACATCCTAATCTTTTTTTTTTACGTAAATGAAGTAATTGGTTAAAATAATTGGTGAAAATGAATCGAGAATTTTTAGGAATCGTTTTATCGACGTTTATCGAATATTAAAATTCTCAGCTTGTAAATATACTACTTTAAAATG